CTGGTTTCCGTGTTGAGCGAAAACCAATTGTTGAAAATGGGCCTATTATGTTACTTACACGTATCTCGCATATGACAGAACCAAACAAAAAGGTGGGCAAAATAATGTGCTGGTATAAAAGCAAAAAGCACGATCAATGAAGTAAGGATCATCCCTACCAAACATGCATTGGCCTTGACTGTGCAGTGTGAAATGTAGATATTTATATTTTTTGTTAATGGGATAATGCTATGAGAAAGTCCTCATCCATGAGATGGTTAGACACTCGGTTAATATTTATGTAAGTGATCAATTCGATCTGTCATAATTAATGTGCATGGTTTAGCAGTTTTATGCAATAATTATTTAATTACAAAATTATTTTATTTTCCAATTCTCCATCTCAAAACGAAATTATTTTTAAATCAAAAAATAACAAATAAATTTGCAATTTTAAATATATGCGCCATAACAATAACTTTCTATTTAATACTTCTAGTAGTATCATATATGCAAGTAATTAAATAATAAATTTGGTTTTATTGTAATATTTTTCAATGGTCAATATGCATGAGTATATTTAGAGTATGTGATAAATTTACAAAAAAGCTAAATAAAATTTATGAAAGTATTATTATAATTTTAAAATTTAATCAGATTTGTTTAAGTAATAACTATTTTAAATTCTATTCAACTTTTCAAATGCCATTGGCAATTTGCGCCACTATTTAATTTCATTAGATTAAAAGAAAAATAATTGTAATAATTACTAAGAAATCTTATGAAGTATGCGATCAATAATTTTCATGCGAGAATAACTCACGTTGACTTGCGGTGTTAATTAGTAATATAATTTTCAAAAAAGCGCTTAATTTGTCTAAGTACCATCATTAAAAAAATTCTATTTATTCGACAACACTTTTCTAGTTCCTGATCTAACCTACAATCTAGGTGCATGTACCTCTATCTATGCAATGAATGTCGTTGGTCAAATTCATTATTTTCAAGCTCAAATTCTTTTGTAGAATCACGATGTTGTTTATTTACTTACCTTTATCATAATATATTATACCACCATTCAAAAATATTTTTTATTTATAATCATATAATTATTATTAAAAATAATTAAAAATTATTAATAAATTATAAGTAAAATTAAAGTGTGAAAAAACCTAAATAATATTTAAATATTATCATATATTTCAATAATACAAAATAAACAAATTACTTCATAATGGCTATTATAGTTAAAGGGTTTTATAAAAGTTATGTTGTAGGAAAAGTGATTGTGTTATTTTATAGAGAATCGTTTTGCGTGTTGTAATTTTTTTTTTCAAAACATACGGGCCTCACAAAATGTTGTGTGTGTAAAAAAAAAAATTATGATCATATTAAATGATATGAAACCGCATAGTTAAATTACTTATTATGCCTATGGATATTGCTTGTATTGTCCTTCAATTATCAAACAACAGACACATCAAAAAGTTGTGTTGTACATTTGTACCTCAACTAATTGTATTATCTTGTTATATTGTGTTGTTATTCATTGTGCATCAAATACAACCTAAGAAGTTATAATTTTATTAAGGGCTTTAATTTTTTTCATGTTGCATGAAAATACAATTTTCATGTTGTGACTTAATTAGTGATGGGCCTCACATTTATTAATTTAAACTATTTTTAAAATATTTATTTATTATTAAATATCAAAGGCACACATTTCCCTCCTTGGATATTCTTAGACATAATAAGTAATTATTTCTTCATTTAAAGATACATGAAATTTAGAATATATAACAAGATACGTACAGAGAATATTATGCTTCTGGAGAAACTTTTTTTTTGTATTATTCTGGAGAAACTTTAGCCTCAATGGTTAAATGGTTTATTAATTTCACATTGAAAAGAAAAATGAAAAATCGTGTAAGACAAACACATTGGTGTGCATGGCAATTATTCTCTTTCCTGGCATTATTTCTGAAAAGAAATAATTCTTTTCTATTTCTACGCCTTGAACCAGTTTTGAAAATAAAATGTGTTTGATAACATGTTTTATTTTTATTCCGAGAATAAAAATTGTGTTTGATAACACAACAAATAATAGAATAAAAGATATTCCTATTAAGCATAATTTTTTTTTGAATCATCACTTTTCTTTTCATATGGTGTGGTAGTGGTGGTGGTGGTGGCAGCGACGGCGGCGGTCTAGTAGTGGCATCATAGTGGCGGTGGCGTTATGGTGGTGCTGCTGCAGCGATGATGGTGGTAATGGTGGTGGCAATAGTGGTGGTAGTGATGGCACGGTAGCAGTGGTGGTAGTGGTGGCGGCGACGGTGGTGGTAATGGTGACGATGTTGGTGGTGGTAATGGTGACGATGTTGGTGGTGATGGTGACGGTAGTGGTTGCGGCGATGGTGATGATAGTGATAATGGTGGTGACAAAGATGGTGGTGGTGGTGGTGATGATGGTGATGGTGGCGGTGACGTAGAGGTGGTGGTGGTGACAGCAGTGGCCGCATCAATGATGGTGATAAGGGTGGCGATGATGATGACATGATGGTGGCGATGGCAATGGCAATGGCGTGATAATGGTAATGGTGGCAACGACAATGGTGGTAATGGTGGCATAGTTGTGGCGGCGACGACTGTAGTGGTGGTGGTAACGACAGTAGTGGATGCGACGATGATGACGATAATGACATGATGGTGGCAGTGGTGGCGGTGGCATGATAATGGTAGTGACGGTGGTGGTGACAGCAGTGGCTGCGACGATAGTGATGACATGGTGGTGGTGGCGGCGACGTAGTGGTGATGGCAGCAACGACGATGGCAGTAGTAGCGGTGGCGTGATGGTGGTGGTGATGACAATGGCTACGATGATGGCGGCGGTGGTGGTGGTTGGTGATGGTTGTGGTGGTGGTACGACGATGGTGGCGGTGGTCATGTTGGGATGGTGGTGGCGGTGGTGATGATGGTAGCGGTGGAGATGATGGTAGCGGTAGAGAGTAATTGAGAGATATAAGTGTTTCTCATTTTGTGCCCGAAAATAAAAAAGCATAAAACATTAATTTTTTTTCTATTCCCCAGCACAAAAATTAAACCGGTTCATCCCGGAAACAAAAAAAATAAACTGATTTTATCAAACAAGTTTTCTATCTATTTCTGCTCCCGAGAACACAGTTAAAAAAGAATTGATTCAAGAAAGGTTATCATGCGCACCCTATATGTGTTGGAGGGAAAATAATGAGATGCACTCTGAACCATGAGAAATAATGATATTATAATTTTTACCATATTGTGTTACCCAAATTTTTTTTTACCATATTGTGATAAAAATAAATTAGTCATTTAATGATGGGAAAAATGTTTGTCCTTTTAAATGACACAACTTATGTCATTTCACTCTCATAAAGAGGTGAAACCCACATTTTTATATTTTTTTGTCCATTCTCTTTCCTTCTTTTTCTATCTATTTCTCTCACTTAAAATGACACAACTTTACATCCTCTAAAATGATACACATTCCGTGTTACCTGGACCATCTACTATCAGTTTTAAGTAAGTTATTGAAGTGTTTTTAGGAAGAGAAAAATTATTTACGTTATATCATTAAAAGCATAAAATATGAATTGTGTGTAGTCTTTAATTTTACTTTATTTCAAATAATAGATCTACCGTATAGTAGTATAGTAATGGTAAAGAACAATAAACTTCTATTGTTACATTTTTGGTAGAGGAGAAATTTTTTTTATCTGAAAATCTCGATTTTCAGAAATATGATTAAAATTTTCCGTTTACAATAATATCCGAAAATTAAAAATTTAGAAAAATTTAATTTCTCAAGAATCCTACATAATACCTTGTACCAAACGCGAGATTAATGTTTTTCCTATACAATGGAATATAATTTTATTCTAATACAAAAATATAGGAGTGGGTGGAGTTTATTTTTTCTCTTTCCTCCATTTGCCATGGACATCATCCAATTTTATATACAGAATAATGTTTCTGGAGTTACTGCAGATAAGTTATCTGCATTTACTCTCAAAACGACGTCGTTTGTGGATTGAAAAACTAAATAATTATAACTATAAAGACTCTAATAACCCTGAAATAAATTAAAATTATAAAAATACTATGATTTCCGCACCAAAACAATATTGTATTAGGCTACTGCAGATAACTTATTTGCAGTAACTGCAGAAAAAACGAATCATTTTATATATGTGTAAGAGAAAAATTAATCCCATTATTAAATGATAAAACAGTTTTATTAGGAAAATATATTTATAAATAAATATTAATATAACTAGTAGACGGCATGAACCTTGCGATAGCATTAAAAATAAATTTGAATCGGACTTACGTCTAGACAGAAAAATTGATAAACTAATCGGGTGTTTATTCATTCAGCCAACAATTTGATTAAGTTAAAAACCAATGCATAACAAGTTGAAAATGGTAAAATTGATGAATATTAGCGGTGAACAAAGAGCCTTTTTATTTTGTAAATTTTGTAATTCAATCACAATTTTTTTTTTTTTTTTGAGAATGTCAAGTTACAAAGACTCGTACATATGTAAGGTATGACATAAATTGTCATATCCTCTTGATTTTTATTTATGGTGTAGGCTTAAACGTTTACCTTAGGTATTTATTGGGTAAAACTTGCAAGTAGCACTTTCTTTATACCTTAACCCGATTCAATTAGCCGTTTGCTCTTAAAAAATTATTGCCTGACAGTATGGAAGAAAGAGAAGATCCAATTCGCTGACAAACTTGAGTCCATTGGCTAGTCAACAATTATTACGAGGTTGACTTCTTGCTCCGTTCAACAATAATTGAAGTCCAAAAATAATTACATAAAAAAAAAACAAAAACACAATGGCTTGGATGTAATTTAAGGAAATGTTAATGGCAGAAGCCTCAATAACTTTCTAAAGCTTCAATTGTTCCACGAGTTTTATTTCTATTTAAATTGAACCAACCACAACCTCCATTGACACACACAGCACAAAGTTGTGGTTTATATTCAACCCCTCATTTTTAAGCTTCATAAACACCCTCTCTACCTCACTCGCACACGCAAGTTCAAAGGCACAAACACAAACACAAGAACATTCTTTGCCTATCCATGGCGGCAAGACTCTCCGCCGCCACAACCTTCAAGCCCTATAGTCTTCTCCAAGCCTCAAGCCCTATCCCTAAGCCAACCCCAACACTTTTCTTCACTCCCTTAAGAGGTCTCCATCACAGCACAATCCTTCGAACCCGAAGAAAAATGACAGGTTTCACCGTTTGTGTCCTTATGGAGGATCCAAAACACAGTATCCAGGACAAAAACGAAGGGGAAGAACCTCCGAATCGAGTGAATCCTCAACTTGTGTCTGAACGAGTGGCAGAAAAAATGGCCAGAAAAAGGTCCGAGAGGTTCACTTATCTTGTTGCAGCTGTCATGTCTAGCTTTGGTGTCACGTCCATGGCGATTTTGGCAGTTTATTATAGATTCTCGTGGCAAATGGAGGTAGTTACCTTGAAGTTAATCTCTTTGTTTGTGTATTGACATTGGTTTGTGTTATTTTTTTGCATCTGAATATTGGGTTGGGTTGGTGTAGGGGGGACAGGTTCCTTGGTCTGAAATGTTTGGCACATTTGCCCTCTCAGTGGGTGCTGCTGTAAGTCCTATCCCTTAATTTACCAATTCAGTTCAGCATTGGGAATTTTTGAATATGAAATTGGGTTTCTTCTTTGTGGATTTTGTGTGTTAAATTCAACTGGGTATGTCTTTTTTTCAGGTGGGTATGGAGTTTTGGGCAAGATGGGCTCACAGGGCTCTCTGGCATGCTTCCTTATGGCACATGCACGAGGTATGCTTCCAATTCTTCAATTTTCCTTCTTTTTCTTATGCCATGTTTCAATCAATTGCTACGAAAATGCAAGAATTTTTTTTTTGAAACTTTGGGATTAATCATGTTTTTTTTTTTTCTTCAAGAAGAGTTCTTTCCTTTTTCGTTGACCTTCCAATTTCTAGACCTAAACTTGAATTGTTGCAGTCACACCATCGACCAAGAGAAGGACCATTCGAGCTTAATGACGTTTTTGCTATAATTAACGCTGTTCCTGCCATAGCTCTTCTCTCATACGGTTTTTTCCACAAGGGACTGGTCCCTGGCCTCTGTTTCGGTGCAGTAAGTGTATCTTTCGTAATCTACTTTTTTAATCCCTTAATTAACGGTTTCATTGGGATCTGTTAATTATAATTAAGAATGGTAACGATTTGACGGTAATACCCTTAAAAGTTATCAATATTGACATCCTCAGCTTCGAGCAGGGTCTCGGGATTACAGTATTTGGGATGGCCTACATGTTTGTCCATGATGGATTGGTTCATAAGAGATTCCCTGTGGGTCCCATTGCCAACGTGCCCTATTTTCGAAGAGTTGCTGCTGCTCACAAAGTAAGTATTAATTTAACATTTAGCAATGCTTAAAAAAGAATCAATATATTTAACATTTTATTATTTTTTTAGCAGCACAAAGGAAAAAGAAAAACGGTGCGTGTTTGTTTCTGTTTATTCTGGAATAGGATCGGATCGGATCTGATCTGATAACCTTGATTTTGTTGTCTGTATTCAGCTACACCATTCGGACAAGTTCAATGGGGTGCCATATGGGCTGTTTTTGGGACCAAAGGTGAGCCATATGCCCATATTCATAATTCTTTTCTTCAGTTTTTTTATTTTATTATTTTATTTTATTTGGGGCTCATTAAATAAGTCTTTACATTTTATCTGAGTTTTTAAATAAAATTTTATTAGCGAATATAAATTTATTTAATTTTTTAAAAAATATAAACAATCTGTTAAAAACATATTTCAAAATTTAACAAAACTACAATATTTTATAGTATAGCCTTTATGTTATTCAAGTTTCATGTACTCATATTTTTGCGTTAATTTTTTAAATTGAAAGTACGCAGGCAAATTTATATTTGTTTTGAACCTTAGGGAGATTAGAAGTTTACTTATATTATTTTTTGTTAGCTCAACATTTTTTATTTATTTATATCACTTTAGATTTGCATATTTCCTATGGGGCTGATAACCCATGTGTGACAAAATATGATGCAGGAAGTTGAAGAAGTGGGAGGGCTAGAAGAGCTCGAGAAAGAGATAAGTAGGAGAACAAGATCACACTCTAGTTCGTGATAATGAGACTAGTGGATAAACTGTTTGGAGTGAGTGTAAAGAAACAATACAACGAATGAATGAAATGATTTGAATATTTTATTGCTTTTATACAGTTATTGATATTATAGCTGGATGTATAACACAAAAATAAGTCAAAACTTACATAAATGAACAGAACTTGGTGCGTACCATCAGAGTTGACTTTTTTTAGTTTTTTTTTTTTAATTTAACTCAATTTTAATTAATTTTATTAGGTGAGGTGACTCCTTCGTTATTTGCACAAATTTTGATTATTTGAACTAGTTATACAACTAATCCAGAGTACGAGGTTCATTAAAAATAAAGATGTTTAAATTCCTTTAACAGATGAAAGTGAGATTCTTTCATTTTCGTTTTCTTCAGTTCTCTTGTTAAATTACCACCATTTGATTTTTACACTTTTCTTTTTGAGAAAGAGAAAATGCGCCATATATCGATCTACGTTGCATCCACTTACACTTCAAGTTCAAGTATCCCATATTTATTGAGACTCGGATACCTTGATTTTTTTTTGACATTCTAATACATTTTGATATTAATAATATTTAAAATTGTATTACATATTAAAAAAAATTCATCAATATATTATCAAACTGATATAATAAAAATTAAAAATAAAAATTAAATAAATCTTATTTGAAAATGTAAGAGATTTTTTTATTTGAAAATGTAATAGTAAATTTTTTTTTTTTGCAAAATTGAAGAGTATCATAAGTTTAATTTTATTTTTTATTAAATTATTAAATATTAAATACAATATAAACTATATAAATAAAAAATATAATTTGATATTAAAATATATCTTAACGTGTGAAAATCTAATTTTTTTAAATTAAAGTATCAAAATATCATATCATATCATGCCACACTCCAAAGCACGGACACGTTACTTTTTAAAAAATTTGCGTGTCGGACATGTGTCCGACACGCGTGGACACGCGGTCAACATTTAGGGACACGTGGTAAATTCTCTGACACGTTTTTTTGACACACAGTCAACTTTCTCCGACACGCGGTCAACTCTGGGACACGCTCGGACACGTTTTTTTTTTTTAAATCTTAATTTTATTTTGTTAACTAAATATAAAAGAAATAATTTATAAATTAATGTTTTTCTCTTATGAAATTTGACATGAAAAATTAACAAAGTACGAAAAATTATTTATATTTATATTTATGTTATGAAATTTAAATATTTGATTGGTTATATGACTTATCATGAACTCTTATATGTATTAAGTATAAATTATATTATATATATTAAAAAATTTATTTAATATCAAAACGTGTCCCAACGTGTCGAAATATGATATTTTTTAGAATTAACGTGTCGACGTGTCGTGTCGTGTTCCGTGTCCGTGCATCATAGATGCCACATGTCAATATCGGTCCAATAGCTTCAGACTTCATATTGTGCTAAGTTTGCAATTATAAAAGTATTTTTTTAGGGGACGTTTGGTACAAGGTATTTTGTAGAATTATCGAGAAACTGAATTTTTTAAAATTTTTAATTTTCAGATATTATCGTAAATTGAATATTTTTATCATATTTCTAAAAATTGAGAATCCCGGATAAAAATAAATTTCTCCTCTACCAAACACTTCCTTATAGACGACGACATTCTTTTTTCGTTTCTTGATTTTATTAAAAAAAGATAGGTTTACCTTCGGCTCAAGGCACAAATATCACCGGAAGTGAGTTTGTGTTTTACGATGAGTATAAAATTTTGATTAAATTTCGTTTTCATAATAGAACAAGGGTAAATTACAATTTTTTTAAGAGATGCTTAAAATTATATTATTTACTTAAAAAAATTAATGTTTATCGTACAATTAGGAAATAATTTTATTCCTGCATACATTTCAACAAATTTCATTTTTCTTCATCCACAAACAAGTGCATACATGAGATAAAGTTATTTGTTATATGCTGAAGAAATATTAACCCCTTTAAAAAATTATACTTCTCCTACTTAAAACCATCAATTATGTAAGGGAATATGTTCGGTTATGTAACAGGAAAATCAAAACATTTCCTGCACAAAAAATAATTGGAAAAGAGAAAGAAATATAAAGAGAGAGAAACAAAACTTAATGAGCCCCATATCAATTGTTGTTTGTGCAGGACATTTTTAGTTTTTTTATGTTACATGACCAAGATATTAATAAGGGTTTGCTTTTTAAGAGCATTGATCATTTTATCAACGTCACTGAATATAGAAATAAATGCGAATATGGACATGGTATCTTTTTGTTGAGCAGCAAAAGATATTAATTTGAATGAATTTGTAAAAAAGCATTTTTTTTTATAGGCAAAGCAAAATAAGTTTATTTTTTAAAAAAGATTATGGTATTTAGGTAATTTGAAAGAGGAGGAAGGGTGGCAGTTTGAGCAGAGTACGATGACAGAAGTGTGACTGCAAAATGTGAGGCTGAGGGACCCTCACAGGATTATTAGGGACATGGACCATATTACCACTCCTTTAATAAAAATTTACCTGATTGCCACTTCTGAAAAAAAATTTGCCAAAATGCCACGCCTGAATCCCGCTGGTCTGACAAGCGGGAATGGACTGGACACGTGTCAGCGTCTGAATGGTCAACCATTCTCGCTGGGCTGCCCAGCTAGAATGACAGAATGCTGACACGTGGCAAAAGTACAGACATCCAGAGAATGCCTGTGCTTTTGCCACGTGTCAGCATTCTGTCATTCTAGCTGGGCAGCCCAGCGAGAATGGTTGACCATTCAGACGCTGACACGTGTCCAGTCCATTCCCGCTTGTCAGACCAGCGGGATTCAAGTGTGGTATTTTGGCAAAAAAATTTTCAGAAGTGGCAATCAGGTAAAATTTTGCCTAAAAAGTGGCAATATGGTCATTGTCCCGGATTATCACAACGAATCACATAAAACGACACAATTATCAGGGCTAGAATTGTCGAAGCCAAAGGCAATTGATGTAGTTACAGATTATAGTTGGTCAATTTGGTTGGATAGTTGAATCATTATGCCATTACATTAATCTTACAATGTACGTAATGCGTGAATGACTAATAGTGAATGTTTAAATTTTAATTGGAAAAATCTTTGATTTCAACTGTTGCTGTACATAGTATAGAAGTCCCACATTGAGTGTGTCTCTTTGTATTCTTCAATTGGTTTGCTATATAATAGCACAAATGTTGTGTAGTTTAATATAACAAGGATTACAATGAATACCTCTCGTCTCTTGGTGATTAACATGGTATCTAGAGCCTAACAAGAGGAATCCTAATCCGCGTTTTTTTTTCCGGTGGACCACTGTCTGTTGAGTAAAATATTTTTTTTTCCCCGCAATAGTCATATCTGTCAGTTTTCGGCTTCCATATATCGTCTACGGACCTGTCTGATCACTGCCGCCATTAGGCACCACTGTCCACCGCCGTTGACCGTCGTCCACCGCCGTCCACCGCCGTTGACCAACGTCTCCGGTGACTTTTCCGGTGAGTTTTCTGGTGAAACCCATATCGATCTGATTGCCACGAGAAGGCGCTCCTTTCTGTCCAGGACCCATCCTCAGATCCTCCTCCACGCGCTCTCACGCGCGACAAACAGCGGCGGCGCGTCCCACTCCGGTTGGCTGTCGGACCACCACGGTTCCCTTCTTCTTCTCCTTGCGCACTTGGATCTGTCCTCACTTTGTTGTTTCGACTTCGTTTCGGCTTCCTACGGTGTTTTTTCCCTTGCTGGTCACTATTCACATGCGGTTCTTTGCTTTTCGTTGTTGATTCCATCGCTGGACTCTGTTTGGTCTACGTTGCTTCACATTCCACCTAAGACTTCTATGGAGCTTGCAGTATCTGCTCCCTCTTCAATTGACCCATCTGCCCTTGTCTCCAAGGGTTTTGCACGTGGAAGCAAACCCTCTACGAGACGCTTTCTCTGCACTCATTGCAAAAAGCCGGGCCATATTATTGATCGTTGTTGGGATCTTCACGGCCGCCCTCCTCGCTCCGCTCATTTTTCTCAGACTACTGTTCCTGCCTCGGACTCTGCCTTGATTGCTGGATCACAGCCACCTCCTGGTACCACTGCCTCTAGTGCACACACGGGTAATTCCTTTGCTGGTGTTTCTCACTCGCCCTCTATTGGTCCATAAATTCTCGATTCTGGTGCATCTGACCATATTTCTGGTAATAAGTCTTTATTTACCTCTCTCTGTACGTCTGGTCCCCTGCCCAGTATCACTATGGCTAATGGGTCACTGGTTCAGTCCCAAGGGATTGGCACTGTTCTCCTCTTTCCTTCTATTCCCATTGAGAATGTGCTTTATGTTCCTCATTCTCCTTTCAACCTTATTTCCATTAGTCGCTTGACTCAATCCCTTGACTGTATTATTTCTTTCACTAAAGAGTCTGTCATTTTGCAGGATCGGAGCTCGAGGAGGACACTTGGCGTCGAATCTAAGTCCAATGGCCTTTATCAGCTTTCAACTTCTGTTCCAGTGTGCTCTGTTGTGGATTCTCCGCTTACTATCCACGTTCAGTTGGGTCATCCAAATCTTGCTAAGCTCCAGAAGATGGTCCCACGTTTCTCAAATTTATCTAGTTTGTCTTGTGAGTCGTGTCAGTTAGGGAAGCACACTCGTAGTTCGTTTCCCGATCATGTCAGTCGTCGGTCTTCGTCTCCTTTTGCTTTAGTTCATTCAGATATTTGGGGTCCTAGTCGTACCGTTTCCACTATGGGGTACAAATATTTTGTCACTTTCATCGATGATTATTCTCGATGTACTTGGTTATTTTTAATGAAAAATCGGTCTGAATTGTTTTCTATTTTTAACAAGTTCTTTAATGAAATCCTTACTCAATTTGGTGTTTCGATTCGCATTTTTCGAAGTGACAATGCTCGTGAATATTTGTCTCATCAGTTTCAAACCTTCTTTGCATCTCACGGCATCCTTCACCAGACATCATGTTCACACACCCCTCAACAGAATGGGGTTGCTGAACGCAAGAACCGTCACCTAATTGAGACTACTCGGACACTTTTGTTACATGGTCATATCCCATTCCAGTATTGGGGCGATGTTGTCCTCACAGCTTGTTATCTCATTAATCGGATGCCTTCTTCCGTACTTCATAATCAGGTACCACATTCTGTGTTCCCAT